ATACGTCGATGGGGTAGTCCACGTAAGGTGCTGACTATGAGGTGTGACTTCGACATTAGCTAGTTTGTCACATCATTCACGTCTAACTCGAGAAGGTCTCCAATCATTTCGACATAGATCATCTACGTTGGCGATCTACAGAGTTAAACAAGAGGGTTAATTCTATTTTAGTCGACTATCACAAATACCAAAGGGTCATAGAAAGGAGGGACCATATAATCATAGCTATCCACGAATCAACAGCAGTAAGAAGATTCATATTATAATAAGTACATTATAAATAGGCTCAAGGCTTTTTTGAGTATGTTTGAAACATCATTACTGTTGGTCGCCAGTGTAGACGATCTGTGTCAAAGAACTAGGGGCCTACTTGAGTAAGACGGAAATGGTGTGATCCACCGGCTACTGCCAGAGTCAAAACTCATAGTAAGCATATAACGCAAATTACAATTTCATCCTATCCAGGTACCGTGACCACCTTGATGACCATACAAAGAACACGTAGTTATTATAGAAATGCATATGTAAAAGTAGGTACAAGCAATAGAGCAAGATCATCAACACATAAGCCAGTACATGACAGTAATAAATTTATGCGCATTGGTTGTGAATGACTTTGAAGTGAGCTGGCAAACTGCTCGATATGGAGTGATAGACTGTCGGAAAATTTGGCAAGAGCCATGCCACTTCACTGACTCGACATTACTAATGTTTATAAAACTATATAGAAACTATTGAATCCAAACGTTGTTCAGCTGTAAAGGTTTCTAATTCTACGTTTGCACGACTCCATAATGGAATAAAAGGAGAATCTACGAGTCCGATAATGTTCCCTTGTCCTTCAGTTTACTGAATTTGTATCTGTGGCTTATATTTCCAAGTCTAAGAAGCCTACAATACGCAATTAGCGTGGTGCATCAGATCTAGGAAGTGTTACCGATTTCTTTGAAGAGAAGGAGCTTAGTGTTAGACTAGATGCAGCCAAAACTGTGTCACATGTACCTGAAGATGCTCTTGCCGGTGACAAAGCTAAAAGACAAAAACAAGTGTTGAAGATGAGAATCAAAAATGAAGTCATGGCACTCATTTTTCAAGGACTCGAAGTTAGAAAATTGATAGTGAAACAGTATCTAAAAGAACATCAGTGCAACGTTTTTCAAACACTGATCGCACTGTACAAGTGGCCATGAACAAATAATTGTAGGTGCCACAACCGATACTTATTTAAAGCAATGGTCAATACTTTTGAGAATTTGAGTCTCTTTTATGTACATAATTTGAGTAAATGAAAATGGTTTTTGTACGGAGTTCAATTGCTCTATCTGTTCCGATCACCATGACAACTGATTATTCATATTTATGAAATGAGCCAGCGTCGGATACTACAAGGTTTGACATATATTAACCCTCTTTTTTAAATATAGACTTTGAGCAGTATCAAAAGTCTAGAACTAAATTTGTACAAACCGTCGCCGAGCTTGCTGTTCAGCCACAAAATATTGATGTTCTACAAAATTTGGGAGTATTATCTTTGTTGAGACCACTTTTACTTGATACGGTACCCACAATTCAACAAACTGCGGCTATCGCACTAGGACGTCTAGCTAATCATCGAAAAGATTTAGCTGAAGTTATTGTTAAGGGTGATATCCTACCTCAACTTGTTTATTCTCTAGCTCAACAGAACGTATTTAGTTTAATTCATTTATCTTATTTTATTAGAGATTTTATAAAAGAGCTGCCGCATTTGTACTGAAGTCGATTGCCAAACACTCTGCTGAACTTTCACAAAGTATTGTAGACTGTGGAGCTTTGGATGCACTCACTGTTTGTTTGGAGGAGTTCGATCCAGCTGTAAAAGAGGGTGCTGCATGTGCAATTGGATGTATAGCCAAACACTCAGCTGAGCTCTCTCAGGCGGTCGTAGATGCAGGTGCCATTCCACTGCTTGTTTTATGCATTCAAGAACCCGAAATAAGTCTTAAAAGAGCAACTGCATGTACACTAGCCGAAATAACAAAACATACAGCTGATCTTGCCCAATCGGTTGTTGACGGTGGAGCGATCGCTCATCTTGCACAGCTTGTACTAAATCAAGATTCGCTACTTAAGGTGAGACGGGTGATTTTTTTACTAAAACTCTTTTAGCGCCAAGTATTTGCTGCTTTATCAACAATCGCTAAACATTCTGTGGACTTGGCGGAGCTAGTAGTTGAAGCCGAAATATTTCCAGCTGCATTGGTGTGCCTTAAGGACGTGGATGAAATTGTTAGGAAAAACTGCGGCAATCTGGTCAAGGAAATAGTCAAACATACACCAGAACTCAGTCAATTAATTGTTAACTGCGGCGGGATAGCTGCAATAGTTGACCAGATTGGGGATACTAAAGGATTTACATGTCTACCAGGTGTTATGGGTTTGGGATATATAGCTGCTCATTCTGAAACCTTAGCGATGGCTGTGATAGTTTCAAACGTAATTTGTTACATATGATAAACAATTCCATTAGGGGGTTTCACAATTAAAATGTGTACTCATAAAGGAATCGAGCGAGGAGATACAGGCTGCCGCAGCATGGGCGCTTGGCCAGATTGGTCGCCATTCCCCTGAACATGCGAAAGCCATAGCTCAAGCCGACGTACTGCAGAATCTGTTGGAGTGCTATCTAAAACAAAATGCGTCAGAGGATCTTAAAACAAAGGTATCATAGTCACTCATAGTCACTTTTTCTTTTAGACCAAAAAGGCACTGAAGCTAATAATTCAGAAGTGTATTAATTTAGAGGCACTAGAACCTTTATTGCAAAAAGCACCTCCAAGTATCCTGAAACATGCAGTTGCGCAGTTTAGCAAAGTTCTGCCACATGATAGCAGAGCACGTCGGTGGTTTGTGGCATCTGGAGGTCTTAAAAAAATACAGGAGCTAAAGGACGACAACGAAGGCTTGTTGTCGGAGTACATTAATGCTATAAACAACTGCTATCCAGAAGAGGTTGTACGTTACTACTCCCCAGGTTATGCCGAAACATTAATGGAGCGTGTAGAAGCATACCAAATACCGATTTGAAGTTTAATTCTGAGTAAAGAAATAAAGACGGTTCAAAGATATTAACTATCATGAAGAAATCCATAATTTATAAAGCATTCAACATAATTTTACAAATAAAAGTTAGTGAGTAATATTAAAACATTATGAATTTGGATACCATAAAATGCTTAATATTTTATGTACTAAAAATATATCAATTAAATGAATCCCAGTTAATTGATTGTTAGCCTAATAAAAGAAATGTCATGTCAGGTAACTGGCTAGTGGGATAAATCGACCCTCCTTCACCAACGAGTCATTTCACATAAAACTTAGATACCTTAACAGCAAATGTCTTAATAAAAGGAAATAAGGTGAGAGTGCAAAAGATTGTTTTTCATACTAGCAGATTACTTCTCAGTAGTAATAGTATCTTATGCAATGCCTGTGACATTCACTTCACTTATTTAAAATTTCGTCACAAGATGACCAGTGAGGTTCATTTTATTGAAAAAACAATTACATGAGCAGAGAATGACAGAAAAAGTTAGCAAATGTAAATTACCACTCCTTGACTACATCGGTTCAGAAATGTAACTGTAATCTATTTGGGAATTTTATTATAGAAGGTCGGTGTATTTAAATAAAGCAACTTTTAAATTGGAAAAAGAATTATAAGTACGACACATATAGGTATTTGATCGTGATATATTTTAAGTGATCAAGATGAGAAATACTGATAAATTTGCTATTACAACCAACCTCAAATTTTAGAAGGGTAATGAAGCAAGACGTTGCGTCCTGGCAGGCGGTAGCTGTGGATAATTTGTACATTTCTCAAGCACCTGTTGAAGACTGATAGAGTTACCAACTGCCTTGCTATACCACGCGCGCCCTTGGGATTACTTACGGGGCCACTGGACGATACATGACCATTACCTATAAAACACCTATAAGTAAATAGTCACTGGTTTCTACCTATTTCTGAAGCCCATGTCTTATGGTCATAAAACAAAAGACAATGGATTTCGAAGCAGTATATTGGTTTTTCGGTTGGCAGAAATCTCGCCTACCTCATAAATGATGTATGTTGGGAAAAGTCAAGCACGCCTTCAAAGTCCATGCTGAGATTTATTCACATAAAAACCTACCACGACCAATGAGACACCCAAGATAATTGAAGTTATTCGCTAGGTCGGTAACTTCACTCTCTATCATCGATTTAGATGACAGATATTACTCCTGAAGCCACATTTTACATTTAGGGACGGAGAAACTCACTTCAACTATATGTAAACTGTTGATCAGTGTTCAAATAACTTTGGATTATCATATGGTCTTCATTAAACAGATAAGCGAGTCTCCTGTAGATGAGCCTCTGGAAAGTTAGACGGAGTTATATGTAAAAGAAACTAAGTAAAAATGAGGGTAGTGGGTAGCTCTGATGAAATGCTGAGTACTTATTTTTTGGAAAGGGATAAAAACAAAAGGTTATATAAAAAGGTATTCCGAGTATCTGATTACATTGCTAGAACAAATGATCTAAAGGAAATGGTGTTAGTCTATTTAAAAACACGTCCCCAAGAGATACACGAACTTGGACTAGATGTAAACACACTCAAATATAACCAATTCCACATTAAACCGTTTAGCACGTTGACTTTGATAGTGCTATTCACTTATAAAAGTGTATTTCAAATAAATATCGTTCCACTAGCCAACATAATAACAAATGAATAATCAAAGTTTGAAATGTGAGAATATACAGTGAACCTATACAATTTTTTGCTACTATTTACCGATGGATTAAACTTTGAATTATCAACAGAAACTCTAAATGTTTAGTTAATACATTTAGATGACGCTATTTAACGGCATAATATGTAATAAGCAAGAAATAGTTACCCTACTACCATCATTCCCACTTTATTTCTTCAAATTGGGAAGTATCATAAAGTACAGCAAACACCGTATATGAGTAAAGAAAGATATATTTGTGTATTTTAAAAAAATAATTATTAGTATTAATGGACAAATTTATCACTTTATATAAACAAAATAAATTACAGCTATGCACCCATAAGAACAATTTATACTAGGTAGGATATAGAAGTATTTGAGATACTATACAAATAGCATATACATATTCGCAAAATATTACATTTTTAACATAAGTAAAAGTTTTAAAAAATAAACCTATAAAAGTCAAAATATAAATATATATATAAAGAAAAAATGTCAAATATCTGATATACAAACGGGATATTTCAATGAATCACTTAAATTATCTATCACAGAAGGATTTGAATGTACTAACTGGATTGGTATATCCCACACAAATTTTTCAGTTTTTAACTTAAGTGGAATTGTCCATACCGTACCGTAGGCTCTTTTTACACATGATTTACCTTGAAAATGATCTAACAAATCATTTTTACTACTATCAGATATTAAATCAAGCTCTAAGTGTAAACGCCATCGATAATCTAAGGAAATAAATGGACTAGTTAAACTAACAGAATGAAATTGTGGCGTTATATTTGTTGGAATAGGCAATGTAAAAGGTAATAACAGTTTAGATGTACAATATAATTTTATATCTGTCCATGTAGTATGTTGTGTAGAGCCTGAAATAAAAAATAACAAAATTAAAGTAAAAATAAATCATGATGCATAGGATATAGAGCGAATGAAAACAATTATAAGTACAAAAGAATAGCGGAGATATTATTAGGAACTATTTACTAATATATACATTGTGAGTTTTATAATCAACTACATGAACTAGTAACACAGAAGCAGTTGGATAGGTGAATCTATATAAGCCTTGATATTGTCACACTTTCACTAACATCACTTTTAACTTTCAATTTCGAAGGCAGCAATACCTTAAAAAGTTATTGAGTCTGCATCTTTAGCTGCTTCATGTGATCGGTTGTACATGTTGCTATACATACTATTCTATTAAACAGAATATGAAGTGTTTGGTTTATACTCTGATATTCTTAGAGAAAATGAGTTTATAATAATGTCCTAGGGTTTCCACTGTATTTTTTATTTTAAAGAGGTGTATGAAACTGTGAAAGATGTATAGTTCCCAAGTTATGTTGGTTTTCCGTATACAACTGGATTTATTATTTATTTAAACACATAAACATTGGTACAAGGAGGCACCAAATAGATATGTGCCACATAAATCATTCGCTTTTTGTGAGGGCTGGGATACTGCCCGGGTGCCCAGACCGAAGCAGGTGGTTTTTTTAGGTGGCCACACCCCGAGCCTTGGATCTAAAGGTCTGACCCACAAGGCAATCGATCATCGTGCGGAGATGCAGTCCTATGGTAGCCGGCGACCAACGATTGGTTCATACGCCATTTGTTCCCGCAGGATACTGGAGTCCACGTGCACCATTGGTTTGGAATCCGGTTAAAGCGCCGGACATTCGCTTTTCGTCCCCTCAATTGCGTAAACAACACCCCCGCCACTAGAAGGCAGTGAGTATGACTTCCCTGATGGAGGCTGAGTACGCGTGGCCGTGTGAGAGCATTTCGAGGGAGGGCGGGCCCACCCCTCTCGGCCATACCAGGTCATTTGGGGGAGCAACTGGTTTCAACGTCCTAGTTTTAAAACGATTAACTCTCTGATAACGTTTTATTCAAACTAAAAATATTTGCGGAAAGCCAGAACAACTATCTGCATATCGCTGATACTGAACAGCCAGAAATTTGCTATTTTACTACCCGGTCGGAATTTCAAGGTACATATTCCCAGATTTGTTAGTAAACCAAAAGGCATATTTACTAAGCGCTGACTCTGATAAAGTTTTAGTTAACCTCAATAAAACTAGCAACTCAAAATTTTACTAAAATGTTTAAAAATTCACTGGTAATGATCATAGTCTACCAAGCTAGAAAGAACGGTTTTATACAGCTGCCTGTCAGTGTAATGATATTATGAAGGTGAACGACCGGTTGCAAATAAAACTTTTAGTTTTTTTCTTCATGCACAGTAGTTACGATGGATTATCACACATAGGCAATCAACAATACGTGTAGTTTCCATAGTTAAACTTACCTAAAGGTTGAAAATTTGTACATAAAGGTTGACCAATTTTGGTTAAAGGTAGACATCCCATAGAACAATTCTGAACCTCATTCCTTCTACTTTTAATTCTACAGTTTGGCAGGAGGAAAGGATTTTCATGGTGAAGCATAAATCTTTCCTCACTTTCAAGTCGTATTACACAACTAAGACATTTAACAACAGCTTCATTAAAGTCAAAATAACCCCGTACCATATCACCTAAGCAGTATAACGTACGTTGGAAAGATAACCGTCCAACATAACCACGTGGAGTAGAAATCACGAAGTTAGCTAAAAACAAATTACAAAATAGTATATTTGAAGTATGCAAACACGAGGAAAATAATCTTGAAAGCAAGTGGGAAATAATTTACACTGTTGATTGATATGAAGATTTTTGTTTCATCACTGTTGATATTTAGGACTAAAGTGATCGACCGCAACATGTTTGGAACGTATTAGCTTAATGTGTCTGTGTTGTAGTGTTAAAGACTTATATTTAACAGCAACCACCGTTCATGTTGTTGATAGTTTCACGTCATATTTAGTAGAGCAGAAATTTAGTTGAGTCAGTTAAGATTGTTGTTTAACCCATAAAACGTTAATCATAGCTATAAAACCCATATCAAATGAAGTCCATTAAAGCCCAACAAAATACTGTTAAGTGAACAACGATTATTTTGCAAGTGTACAATAACTTCGGTATTTCTATATTGACTCTTGACAGTGAATCCAAGGTATCGATAACTAGGAATATCCTCCGATTAAATAAAGTTTTTCTGATATGTGATAAAAATCTGCTTTTAACTGATGACGTAGAACTGAGTAAATACGTAATGTAGTATAAAGTATCAAGTAAATAACAGTGACACAAACTTTGTATTTAAATATTTATTATTTAGTGTGAAATATCCAGGACGAAATCCTATAGAAAAAATGTGACCAGCCATAAAGATCGTGATAAACAACCACAATTAATATGGTTTAAAGCAAATACACCCACCGGGTGGTGAACATGCTAACAGATTCATTAATTCCATATGTGAACTGGGATAGATATAAACTTCGTTTGATTTTTCTGGAGAATGATCTGAGCAATTCGAGTTTCCACACTGGGAAACATTATGAGACAAAGAGGAATATATTTGACCGACCGATTTATTAGTATGTGTTTCCGTATCTTCAAACAAAAAACTGTTGACTTGTTGTGATTGCAAGGAAAAGCCTCCATCAAAGCCAAAATTAAAACAAGAGTCTTTATCTCTGGTATCTGGAACCCAAAACGGATTTGACAATTCGGGAGAGTATGTTTCTTTCTTGTCATTACATTCTTGAAGTCTTAAACTGTGATACATTATTGAAGAAGGTAAAACACGAAGAGGCAACTGAATAGTATGTGTCTTGATATCTGAGTTCAGATATTTTACTTGAACTGCCACAACCACCTTGTACGCGAACTTAAATAACGTACCACGAATACTAGGTGAAAGATTATACGGTAGATAAGCACACAAATTGACTGTAAATTTGGAAACAAGAAATAAGAACTGTTACAAAAAATGAGAACAAACAAGAATATGAGAAATATTTACACATAAATCCAGAAAAATGAAGATGATATGTACTTCATTTTTGGTTTATTTTCTACATTAATTTGGTTCTCTTTAATCAACTCATTATCTTTATTTGATTTAGTTATACTTACAGTCCAAATTGGCGTATATGGAAGTTATATTTCCTTATTTAAGAAAGTGTGATTGTTGTTTAAACTATAATACAAATCAATGTGTTTTTTTCACTGATATTTATAGAATACGACAAATTGAAATGCTTTAAATGATATACTTTCTATGCAACTCGATATTTTTCAATTCCGAAACGTACAAACAAAGATCTGCGTTTTTCAGACTATTTTACATGGAAGTGTAGTATAGGTAAAAAATTTCATGCGAGTAATTAGTGACAACATTCAGTGAACCAATAAATATCCCATAATTAGCATAACATTTAGATATAAAATGCTTTCCAAAACATTTTCAAGGACTCATTCCCTTCATTCTATACAATTTTATCTGCAGAAGACCAGAATATTCCAACTTCATTAAACTCAATCTACTAAAAAAACAGAAATTATAATTAAAATATCCTAATACACAAGAAAACAGAAGCGGGCTAATCTGTATGCATTAACTGACGGTGTGACCCAATTGGTTTTTCTTACTATTTAAATGGATTTTTGTCCTCAAAGTTAATGTATTCTTTGGAGAAGTAGTTCTTATGAAGTCATGAAAAGAGAGAAATGAACTGTTTTTAACCCAAGGGATTTTACAAGGAGAGCCGTAAGTTTCAAAGCAACTACCACTTTGAAACAGCTTGCTGGTGATAGGACCAATGATTGAACAATACTCAGATTAAAACATGATGTAAACTAGATAGTCATGTGATAAAACTGTATATCGAAGTAAACGGATACTTTTGTACATTATACGTATACAACAGAGACAACTTTGGAGTGATGATTGCCTAATGAGAATCTCTAGTAAACTTATACTGACTGGGGCAGTTACTATTTGAAACTTTACCAAACTAAGAAAGCCAATTGATAATCAGTAAAAAGAAGTGGACATAAGGAATCTTTATCATAACAGGGTTTCGAGGCTGAATTTGTAGTGCTAAGTTTCTGCTGGTCAATAGACTTACCAGCTATTTAGCATTTTAAATATGGTAAAAGGGTTTAGAAAATGTGAGTGAAACGGCAGACAATACTACAAATCATTATCACTTGCAAAAACTGTGTAAATAGACTTTTGAAATTTACCAGGTCCTTTGAGACTATTATCTGGAATAAATTTCACATGCATTGGGATGATACATATTAACTGACTTTTCGACTCCAATGTAGAAATGAATAATGATTCAGCATCGACTACATGAATTAGAAATCAGAAAAAAAATTATTCAGAAAAATGTTACAAGACTTAAATTATTTGTACGAATTTGACTGGTCATTACATCAAATTTAGAAGAAAAATTTAAAAGGGGACTGATATACTCAGAAATATATTTGGTTGTAATTTGAGGTTTAAACTAACTCCTTCACCAGGTACTTGGGTATGGGCCACACTTTGAGGGTTAACAACAATACACTGTCATCGAAATCGAAGGTGTTGGAGTGGTGTTTGAATCGAAAAGTTAGTGATCGAAGGTAGATTACTGATGTTTGAATAGCTGAACGGTACAAACAGATGTCTTCTGGAGTTTAGACTCAATTTTTTCGCACTTTAAATGCGAGTGATAAAAATATCGCTGAAGTCTTTATACAAGAAAATTGGTAGAACAGAATTCAATTCACAATTCAACAGCTGTCGATTTAATGTATAAAACATCACGTTCAATAATACTCACTATGAAAACTGAAGATGAAGTTGATGTAGTTAAAAAAATGTGCACTAAAGTTTACGGTCTCATTGAGAAAAATAGTGAGCAAAAACATATTACCGTGGGATTTTTAAAATTCGTAATAATCGAGGAAATCTGATTTCCTAAAGATAAAAACTATTATACAAGTAACCAAGTACACATTTACGTACTCGTCTTTGAGCCATACATATTGCATAAGCGCTAATAATAACACTCTGGTTTTTAAACCAAAGTGCAGTACATAGTAAACAAAATATTTAAGAGTTATGGACACTTTCATTCATAGATATTAGTCACTAGTCTACCAACCCATGAGTAAAAAATGTCAAGAACACGGTTTGTCTGGATAACAGCGTGAGAGTTACGGTGTTTTGTCACGAACTGAACTTAATTCATCTCATTATACATGTTACAGTTCATTCATATTTTTATGTAAATTGTCAGTAGAAAAAACTAGTGTATCATAAGTCACAACCGAAATAAATCTAATCACTAGTTTTGTGTGGTTAGTGAGCATCTATTTTTGTATCGAGTTTTATTTTAGTTTTTTTGAGAATTTCTACTGTTGTTCACGCTGCTTTTTCTAGATTTATTTCTTTATTTATCCTCCCAATACTTTTTAATTATGGGAAACTGATTCGACAACAGAATATCAAGTACTTTATGTTGACCTACATGTTATTGAATACAAAATCGGTCGAAAAAACATTTCCTTCTTATTGGTAAGTGAAAGTTTACATGACAGTTAATCAGTATTTCTTATAGCTACGTAATAAAAACGAATTTAAATATGGAAAAATATACATACAGTTTAGTTCACAATTATATTTCCACTCAGAAGTACTAAATGACAGTGATTTTGGGGACGCCTGGTTCTGTGTAGTTAGTTGCTTATTGTCCAACTTACATTGACCAATGATACAGCCAACAATACCAGTAAGTGACCTTCAAAAGAGAGAAACAGAAGCAAAAATCAGTAAGGATAATCAAACAAAAATGCAGATGTACTGTAGCATCTAAACACCCTGGTAAAGGATATTTGCAATGAAATTAAATTAGGTATGACAAATGACCTGATACGAAAGCACGAGAAGCAATATATCGAAAAACAGTCCCAGACTGAATTCACGAAGAAAAATAACACTTGATAACGGAAGAGATGAAAAACATAGAACAAAACTGGTCATCTTGTACAACCAAACAAGATGGATTGGTTACCAGAGAACACAAAAGCAGCAAAACACATTTTAAAAAGTGGAAAAAAACAAACCATTTATATTCCTCTTTAACTATATCCGAATTCCCGGGAAAAGTTATTTCACAGTTGACGAAATCTCCACCTGAATATACGCTCCGCCCAACCAGTTTGGCAGCTAAACCGAGATTTTGTCCTTGAGATGTCGATGACATTTATTAGCGTAAGAAACCCTTGAAATGACAGAATATTGGCATCCGGATGAAAATAACCTGGCAGATAAAACAATGTTGGAGGGAAAATTACTCTTCCGATACATATCAATCGCGTCGAGATTCCAAGTCAACAACAGACTTAAAAACGTGGATTTGATTACATTTTAAAATCCGAATTGTAAACCAGTAAGGAACTCCCGATGAGCTCGAGAGAGTAACTACGTTTGCTCATGATGAAGGGAAGACTTACTTCCACGAGAAGAAATAATTTATTATGTAACTAATGATTCAGGGTATGTAGCTACAGTGTATTCGCGGTGTACAGCGTCTGGATTTTTCCGTGAGGGTTAACGATAAAGGCTAGCAGAGAATCCAAAACCCGGAGGCATGGGTCACTGGGGTCTGAACTATTCAAACTACGGATGTGGAGTTTGACTCAGTAATATTTCTTATTCTGCTAAGATACTATCAGTCGCTTTCCGCTCATTCCGTACTTACGAATGAAATGATGGCTACAATATAATGACGACTCTAGAGGTATACAGAAGTGGTCTTGAGAAGCTTCAACCACGTACGTGCTAAAATATGGTTACAAACTAGTGTGAGGAATCGAGATAAGGAGTTAGAAGTTAGGGTTAGAGTCCTTATCCCCAAATGATATCAGCTATTATGAAAAGATGTTACTTAGCCAAATAGATGGATGGATTTCACTCGAAACTCTGTCTGTCGTAAACCTGACCGATTAGTCAAAAAAATTCTAGTCCAGGAGAGATAACAAAATAAAGGAATTAGACTTTGAGAAGTCAGATAAACGATTATTTGGAAGTAGCAGTCAAAAATTAAGTTACAATTTCCGCTTTAATGCTCTGATATACTAATTTTTGGTTTTCATTTTGTAAAAACATCAGAATATGGATAAAATAAGAGTTGCAAATGCTATTTTACCAGACAGAAAAGCACCTTAATACGTCGCTTCCATAAACTGTTAGTGACCCTAGTGAAAATACCAGGGAGTCTTATTTCCCAAGTGATGCCACTCAAGGATGGATCATTGGATAAAAAATTAATGGACATTTAATGGATGTTAGAAGTGTTTGAAGCCATGAATGAGAACGACCGTCATGTCGAAGATTACTAAAAAGGATGATATCGTTGACTTGTAATTAACGTATGGAACATGATATTCGGTGTTGGAGAGAATACTACTGGCTTATTGTCATACGAATGTGAATAACGAAGAACATTCCATAAAATGTAATCCATCAGCTCCATACATATCAGACACTGACTTAATTCAATTCAATTACCAAATGATACAAAAGCGCTTCTAAAAGCATTGGAAGTGCATGTACGGTGGATTGAATGGGACATATGGTTTCAAGAACGTTATCATGGCCTTGGAGGTGATGCACTTTACCTTCAAAATGAAGTGTGAAATTCGATTTGCTTCTACTCTGGAAGTACTAAGTGTAGTGGAGGAATACTGATAGCAGCGTAAGTAAAGCCATAATAAAAACCCCGTGGATAAAATACATACTCAGTGGATACATAAAATGAACTCTGAAGAACAAAAGCAAGTAATAAAATAGAACAATAACGTAATACAACCAAAACTAATGAGCAACTCGAACACTCAAGTGTCCCTGCCAATTGGCAGGGACTGCCGTTGGAGTACATTCCGTGAAGAAACGCACACAAATTTTTAGTTCAATTAGTTTATAACTAACTGCCACTTCCAAAAAGCGGTTATGGGTCTAAGCAATTAATCAACCAGTTACTTAAAACCATAAGTCGTCCTATTTCAGTGTGTAACTTATGTTATTATTGAATCTTTTCAAACGTACCACGCAACGCACGAATCGAAATAGAAGCGGAGTAAGCCTCAATATACAATATCAATGTAGACAGTTAGTGTAAAGTAGATAGCGTATTTTCACTCATGTCGTGACGTGAACCCACATTTTAAGATGTGAGATCGAGCAAAAACGTAATATTTTAGTTAAACAACCTAAGTAGGGGTGAATTCAGATTCAGGACAGTAGGCCGGCGGCCCATGTTATTCCTGTTCTAGTGTGCTTCTATGAGTGTCCAGTCTTCTTCTGAATGAGTGGACTAAAGCTACTGTCACCACGGCCTCGGGCAGCAGGTTCCGAGAACTGATGACTCCGTGTGAAAAGCTATATGCCACGATATTTTGTTCGTTCTTAGCATTTCTACTCTCCTGGCATGCCCTCTGACATGTCTCTATCTAGTGGGAAAGGGGAGAATATATTGGGTTCAAAATCATTTCTTAATATTCTGTACGTCAAAATCAAATCTTCTCTTAGCATGCGATATGACAGAATAAGTAGGTTTAGTTTTTCAAGCCAGACACAGGCGCTTCCCTTATGCTGCACCTATTAACCTTTGTATCCGCAAGGTGCATGTAGACGTACTTTGCCTCGTTGATAAGCAACAGAAACTCTCTAGATCAGTTAATCACATTATTTTAGTCCGCCTGAATTGCGCATGCATCTGCGTCATCCGTTATTACTCGCCAGATTTTTACATCGTCCGCACACAATAACATTAGGGACTGAATTAAGCTTGGGAGATCATTTACACACAATATACAAAGTAAAGGACCTAGGACAGAACCTCGAGTTACTCTACTAAGTACTGGTCTCCAGGTGGAGCACATGGAATTTGTTCTTACTTTCTGTTTACGACCTACTGGAAAATCCTTAAGCCATTTTAAGAGAGGTCCGGCAGTACTAACATTTTCTAACTTCAATAGTAGTCTATTCGTAGGCACCTTGTTAAATGCCTCACTGAATTCTAAGAAGACAACATCCACTGAGTTTCTATTGTCTGAGCCCTTTATCCAATGCTCCCTTGCTAAAAGGAGGTTTGTTGTGTAAGGTAAACCTTTTCCGAAACCATGTTGTTCGCTGTTTAACAAGTTTTTGGTTTCCACAAATGCCGTTATGGTCTTTTAGACTATTCTTTCTAATTCTTTAACTTCAACACTAGTGAAGCCGATAGGTCTGTAGTTCGATGGAAGTTGTCTTGGTTTTGTTTCCTGTATGCGAGTGACGATTGCACACTTTCAGTTCGTAAATGACACACCTTGGTCAAGGGACATATTGAATATCATAGTCAGCGGGGTTGCGATATATAGTGGAACATTTCAGGATTTTAAGGTGTGGTTCGTCCGGTCCCGTTGACTTTTTCGTGTCTAAGGTGCTAAGATCTTTAAGTACGTCGTCTCGGTTAAATTCCACAGTGAACAGGCAGTTTGTTGACTTTGTGTTTGGGTCTAGTTCTTCGACCGGAAGTTTTTTAGTGAAAGCTGCCCCAAAATAGTTGGTCGTTGCCTCTGCTTTTTCCTGATCTTCCTCTATCATTCCAGATTCTTTCTCTTATTCAGTTAGGTTGGAAATACAGTGATGCATCTTTGTTCTATAATTTATGTACAAGATTAGTCTCTTAGGCTACTTCAGTGCAGATTGTGCCAACTGCATTTCATATTTTCTCTGAGCATACCTTGATTTTCGAGGCATATTTGTTAACTGCCATGTAGTAGAAACGAATGCCTGGACTTTTCCCAGGCACATGATTTTATCGGAACACAGCTATCACATCACAGAGTTTTTTTGTTAAGTCAATCAATGAAATTCATGCAAAATGTCCCTTTTGTAGTGAGAATGACCGCTCAGTTTGTCAAGCATTGTGATCTGTACATTATCTAAACTTCTGTATGCCTCCACATATAATTCCAGATGGCTAAGTCATTCTTTATATTTGCTTTTTATCTGATGACTGCCTTTGTTGCACGATTTAAGACTTTTTCAAGAAATTTATCACACATTTTAGGAGAGTAGGTTTTTGATCTTCATTTTGCAAGAGGTGAATGTTAAGAAAGGCTTGGTAATCAAGAGACCTGATTTCCTTCCGACACAAAAATGCTCTACCTTAAATGGTAATATTTTACCATCACTCCTTGTATGAGACGTGTCTCTTCTCCCTTACAGTTATATATCGTGTCCTCTTCAGAAACCGTGATATCATAGAATAAGAAGATGATGGAGTGCCCATTGTTTCTAGATTACAAACAAGATAGTTGAGCGACAACGGTAAGACAATTTGAAATACGTGTTGCGAATTCATGCTTTTCATGTATTCACTTAACGTTATCACTGAAATATAGAGCACGCAAATGAGTTCGTTTATGCCGAACAGATCAATGACATATTTAGATCATAACGCAAATGACCACAAGCGAAGATCAAATATCGTAAGTTCTCTTGGTTAACACAGACTCCTTTATCCTCGTTGGCCAATCAGAGACGAAGGTAGTTAACAAATTTATCTATCGTTAGCAAATTTTCGTCTTCACTCGGAAAATAAAGTTTCATAAATGTACATCACGTAGTATTACATTGAGCACAATTGAGTAGTGAGTGGATGCTTAATTCGTAATGGCTCTAGAGCGGTAAACATGCAACAATGTACCGGGTATTTCAGGATAGGAACCACATTGCTCTTCGGATAGCCAAGCCCTGAATGACAATGGTGTTACCGAGAAAAGTTATAAAATCTGTTTGAGTTAAGCATTAATGAATGTTTACAATAATGTCGTATTAATCGATCCGATGAAAGACTGTGTCCAGATCATGCGTGAGGGTTTCGCTTTCTGAAGGTATTGGAAATAAATACCTTCAAATATTTGAGACGTGCATATGTGGAATTATGGTCTACTTCGTTATTAGTATCTCTCCATAAATAGACTTAATCCCAAAATTTTAGATTTGTCATGATGTAACTGCCTAATCTATAAAATCTTACGTGGAGGCCACATTGTTATCTACACAAACTCATCGCATCGTAACAATCATCAATATATGATAAGGAACACATTTAGGTCACAGATAGAACAATATATTCAACATGAATAAAAAGTATATAACAACACTAAACAGTGATCACTCCTGAAACTTCACTGTGAAAACATGAATCATGAGAACAACGTTTATCTGGTAAAACGATATCATGAACCTGATCAGAGTATGATTCATTTGGAACATTCAACTTAATAGGATCGGAGTTATAGAGTTTATCATTAGTTGCGGCGAAATATTTAGTAGTTTTGCAGACTGCCTGTTAGTGTACAATTTTATCACCTATAAAGCATTTATCGTGACGAAATACACATGAATTATATAAGTAAAGTTTGCCACATGACAAACATTTGCGAAACTTGTGCTTATCTTCTTGACCTACTTCGCTACTCCTCAATGAATTGTTATCTGCATAACCTTGAGTGCTCATTGGATTGGGATGGCGTAGTAATTTAATGGAATTTTTTATGTTCTGATGAATCATTTTATAAAGTTTTCCTCTTTTGCAGCATTCAAAGTTTGTACACCTTACATGGTCTAGTAGTAGTTCTTTGAGAGCTGCATAAGAAAGTAAAATAGGCTTTTCTGGGTGTGCCACAGTTTTTAATTAGCTGTATGCTTATGTAAGAAAATGAGCCACAATATTAACATCCTCAACACCTTACTTGGTCATAGTACAGAATTCGAACCTTTCCATATAATTCTCAAAAGCATGGAAATCTGAATGTATGTCCAATCATTCTATCACAGGCTCCATTCGACGCCAATATGATGATTTGAAGTATTTGAATTATTATACAAACTAAGAATTCCAGAAAAACCGCAGTTTAACTAAGATGAACTAGATGAACACGAACAAGTGTATTATATTTGAAATTACAAATCAGGCAGTCATCAACTTCAAGTCAATCACTAGTACATACAAACACCTTAACTTTCCTTTCCATTTAGAACGGATCATATGAGAGGACATTCTAAGTAAGTTCACAAAATGAGATCTAATAGTCCGCATCGAAAGATCCAGTTCCCGTTTGGAGTAACGAATTACTGGGATTCTTTATTAGTATAATTAATATCGACACCTATCAATAAACAGATTGGATTCCCACAGTATTACAAGTTGCACAGTTGAATTTAAGTCCATTGACATCATGTCCTTACTACTGGAGACACTTCTTGATAAAAAATTGGTTTGAATTTCGAATACGTTCTGAAACATTTTTTTCAGGTTTAAGTCATGATTATTAATTTAAGGTAACTGTTCACTCACTTCGTTTGGAACTGTTTTACTTACTTGCAAAGTCCGAAAACTGATGACAGTGAAGGTCATATTCCTGAACAATGAGTCAGACGATACGGGAAAGTTTTTCCATCCGAAGGTTGACAATTGTGTATGTATACAAAGTAGAAGTAATCAAACTGATTTTCCAACTAAGAATTTCCGAAATAGAGAGATTCAAAGTAGATAAAACAAGTTGAGTACAAATGTACGTGTTATATTTGGAATTCGTTGTAAGCGCGCAGTCAAGTACAGAAGAATCATCAGTTGGTACAAATACCACAATTTGTGATTTTTGTAAAGTGAAGGATACTGATATTCACGATTATAAAAACATTTAAATACGTCACAAGACATAACATGATATCATCTACATGCTAATATTTTAAAGATTCTATATACTTAATTCACTTACACTTCATGAGTGCAGGTTTGTTAAACAAATACAGTTCAAGCCTTTATTCGAATATTATAGTTTCGACAACTTTCAAAAAAGCTCGTCAGATGAATGAACAGACAAATTACATATAAGTACGGAAATTTATTTAAATGAGAAAGCAATACTATGAGACTTGTAAGAATAGTTTCATACGTAATATCTTTTCAGATAACAATGCAAACTTCTGCCGATTTATAGCTTTTGAATTTGTAGATATGTCGGAATTTTTTATGAGATGTTAGTGAATGTCTGTATTCTGCTAAAAAAAAACTAATTAAAAAACAAGTATGAATCTAACTGAAATTTCAAAGAGAAGAGCTTACATTATTCAAGATTGTAACAATCAGTGATTTTGCTTAAATGACTGGCTTATAAT